TTATTGTAGAGACATTATATTTTAAAGACAATTCGCATTTTTTTTAATGTGGAATGGCTTTGGGGTAAAATAAAATAAGGGCTTTTTGGTTTTCAGTAATAAACTTTATATCTAAAATTGATGGAAGAAAAATAAAAATGCACTGTTTCATAGAAACTGAAGAATCATTGTATGTATTTTAGTATAATGTTATGCACATAGGAATGAGGAAAACAGCTGCAACATAAGAATATTAAACTCCTAGTGCTTATGTGCTTAAAATGTTTAAATATGACTTCCAGGGAAAGGGAGTGCTTAACCCAGAAGGCTGAGAAATTACTTCATCACTGTGTATCAGTACTTATACACAGCAGTTACATCAGGGTGCTTTCCTACCTCAGTATCAAATTAATAACAAAACCTAACAGCTGGCTGCTGAAGCTGAATGAATTCAACCTCCATGTGAGACTAAATTTCCAAGCTCTGTCGACATAGTTTCATCAGAAGACATGAAGTCTTGGCTCTCACTTAGAGGCTTTAAAGTGCATGTTGTAAATATGCTTTAAAGCAGTTTTTGAATTAAATTCTCTGCTTATATTTGTAGGGATTTTAATGCTTCTGCTCCTTTCCTCCCCCAGGAGGCATGGAGGGAAGAGGTTTGTCTGTGTTGCCCTCCAGGTGCCCATCACACACAGTTTTGCTGTGAGGCAATTACAGTAGGGAAACCTCCTTTGCCAGCACTTTAGCTAATTACCTGCAGGGATGGAGAGGATGTTTTTCCTTCACTACCCATTAGCTAGGGGTAGCTTGGGGATCAGTGTCATTATCTTCTCAAGCTTCAGAATCTGTCCATACCTGGAGGTGAACAGGGGCGTACTCCCAAGGTGGAGAAGACAACCCTGTTTCTTAGAGTCCGTCCTGCTCACATGTTTGAAGTCACAGCAACTGGCAACCCTGAGGTACAAAGGGTGGCTCTTCCCCAGGTCATACTGACAGGAACCCTGGAGAATTTTTGTCTATCTCTACATTATGTCAACTAATTTAATTGGGGAATAAATTTTACCTAATCAATCCCATGCCACTGCAGAAAACTCAAACATTTATCTGCTGGGATAAAGTTTAATGACTGAAGAGCCTTCCTTGGTAGCTAACACTGAAGGTGCCAGCAGAGTAACAACCTTGCCTGATCATAGCCTCTAAGAAAAGTAGTCCCACTGAGTTCAGTAAGAGCCCTCTTAAAATACTGCACAGGAGGCATACTGCATGTGGATGGAATTTGCAATATTGAACCCATAAAAAAAAAAGAATATAGTGAGAGCATTTTGCTCTACACTTAGCAATTCACTGGTCAAGCTTTTTCCTGTTTTCCACTGTAATATAACTGTTAGTTTTAACAAACCCGTTTTGTCTAAGGCAGCATTAATTTCTTTAGAGCAATGAAGTGAGGTTTTGTTCATAGTTCTTTATTTCTGTGTATGTATAAAGTTGGTGAACTTCCTCTGCTGGATAAAATTATCCATCATGAAAATACAAATAGAAAAGTTAAGAATTGGGATATTTTGGAATTGTTGAATATTTATGCTTCACTGCCAGGACATGCAAGATGTGTATTTATATAGAGAGTGTGTATGTGTGATATGCATATTTATATCTGTATATTTGCATATATATATATACACATACATATTACTCCTTTGGGTATTACTGCTATACACATATGTTCTACTGGGAGTTTCCATACCTTGTGAAATAAACATTTGTTCTTAAAGGCACATATTGCCGCAGGTGACCCACCAAATGTTATTCATTATAGACTGTATTTTGAGTAACTGGAATCCCAGTAGGAACTGATGTCCAAACTCTCTTTCCCGTTTCAGTGATGAGAGTCACAAGCAGCTCCTGAGTAAAGGATCGGTACAGAAGATCGGCCAATATTCTTTGCCAGGCATGAAGACTGTTGTGAGAATATCTGCCAGCTTTTGAAAACTATGAATAGAGACAACTGGAGAGGAAATAAGTGCCTGTCTCATAATTCTGCTGGAATACACTGGGCTCTTAGCCAATGTCTAAATTGAAACCAGTGGCATTGCATGGGGCAGAAGCCAGTGCAGATTTTACCCCTGAAAATTTGTAGAAATTGCAGGGTAGGTAAAAAAATAGATTCTGTCCTTTGTAATCTTTGCACACCTACTTTGTATTGCAGAAGAATGGGGAAGTATCTGCATGATCTAATCACTTCAGATTTAAAGTTTACCTGTTTGTCACCACAATTTCTTTCAGTTGTTATATATGCACACTTGACAGAAAGTAGTACAGAAAATACTGAATTGCCTCAAGTCAGTGAGCTCAGCTGAGCTTTAAATAACCTGCATACCAGTAGCATACAGTACAACACCATAACACTACAGCTATGAGCAGCCTCCTACCAAAAGGAAGTTTTGTTTCAAATCAAGGCATTAGAGTTTACTATATTCATGTTCCTATACACATAAAGTAGTCTTGGACATCAAAGATTGGTACCTAAATGGTTTAGTGTGGAGGCATACCCTGTTGTGCTCACTTGCACTGTGTGTGTAAGTCACAGGGGAAAAAAACCTTTGCCTTCATCCTTCTTCTCATCCTTTAAAATCATTATGTGAAAACAGAGGAAAAAGTCAAAGGAGGTATTAAAAACTTTGAGCCTTTACTAGCCTTGTGCAAGATCAGTCTGGTTTATCTGCACAGTACTCTCAGAGGCTATGGAGGACAGGTCCTCCCTCCCTTGCCATGAAAGGTAGAAAGGAATAAGCAGTGGTCCTAGTTCAATGGGGAGAGGAAAAACTGAACTCAGAGATTATGTCAACAGGAGCAATGCTCACTGGAATGATATCTGTGCTATTATTTTTAAATTTCATATTTGTTTCCCAGGGGAATATAGAGAGTCCCAGTAGATACTTTGCAGTTGTACTCATTGAATTAAATGCTCACAAACAAGAAAATGCTGAGCAGGATAGAAGACTGCTCTAAGTTAGCCTGATCATACTGGTTTCAGGGATCTAACCCACAGTGCCTGACTTCAAGAGTTTTTATTATTGACCAAGAGTTACTGAATTTATGGCAAGCATAGAGATCGATATACATGTGTTCTAGGCACAGCTGTAAACTGATGTATTTCAATCACAAAATCATAGACTCACAGAATACCAGGTTGCAAGGAACCTCAAGGACCATGTGGTTCAGCCTTTCTTGGCCAAAGCACAGTCTAGACAAGATGGCCCAACATGCCATCCCATTGAATCTTAAAAGTGTCCAGTGTATACCAGTTAGTCACAGAATATTTCTCCTTCAACGTTACAGGGGTAAAAGATGGAAGGTTTATAGCCAATTTTAAAAGCATTCAGTAGTCTGCATGTCTGGGGAGAGGAGATGGGCAGAGCCATTCAGTGGGTACAGAGGGATGGGTGTTGGTGGCAGCTGATTTCTCCATCTCACAGTAGTCAATGGCTGAGCACTTCATCTTTTGGTTCCCCATATGCATATTTCGTGAATATACTTTTGTGAACAGTGCAAGTAACAGAATTTGGATATTTTTAAATGTTCGTATCTCTGCTTAAGCAGATAGTTTTCTGTATACATTGTTTTATTCTCACTAAATTGTAAATGTCAGAAGAATTAGGCTGTCTCAAAAGAAAGGTTGCAGTAGTCTTCCAGGGTAGAAAATATGGTCAACCACAATGAGGTTTGCTACCTGATTCCAGTATATATTCCCCCTTTGAAATGTAATCTTATTTCTTCCTTTCCTGAGTCCTATTATCACCACCCATTGTTATGCAAACCTTGTTTGGGAGGCTAGGGAAAATAGTTGAAAGTTAAGGCCTATCAGACTGTAGACTGCCATGGCTTTCATTCCATCACCTTCTGCACGTTCGTTATGAAGCGGCTTTTGATTGCACAGCTTTTTGATTGCTAAAAAGGCTTATCGTTTTAGCAAAGGGCTCCCACACGCAGTGCAATGGCAGGCTACATCCTCTGGTCATTTAATAAGCTGCCACAGTCACGATGGTTCTGCCAGCATGAGAAATGTCAACTCGGGAGCTAAGCCGGGGAGGGAAACGGTGCTGGCTACTCTTAATTGTCTTACATTAACTCCAGTAACACTGTTAAGTGAGAATCATCAAAAAAATGTACGAATAATTGTGAATGGAGCCCAGATTAAAAAGCCTGTGGCTTGTGCAGCTGCAGAGTGTGTGACCTAGCCAGGGTTTGATAGGAAAAAGTTGCCATGGGAATGGTCCAGCATTGTTTGCGGCTGACTTCAGCTTTTATTGTTGTGCTCTGATTACAGCTTTTGTTTCGCTGTGAAGTTCGGCTGTTAAATGCCAGCTTGGAACAAAGATGTATTTACAGGCAACGGCGGAGTTCAAATGATTTCTATTTTTGGAGACGTGACTGCTTTAAGCTAAGAAAAAAAAAAAAAAAACCTCACTATGACTATTTCAGAAAACACTAAGTATTTCAGTATAAATTTGGTATACGCTTAGAAGTAACTTCCCATTACAACCGGTTAAATATCATTACTGGAAATTGCTGTTCACCACTGAGACCGTGGTGACCGATAGCAAAAAGCTCTGAGTTAGCACATTAAATTTAATATTAAAATCAAAGCAGTCGCCCATTCAAAAAAAAAAAAAAAGACAAAAAAAAAGGGCCGCACTGCGCTAGGCCCCACCGCCTGGACTACAGCTCCCGTCAGGCCTTGCGCCGCTCCCTCCCCGCACTACATCTCCCAGGAAGACCCGCGGCGCCGGGAGGGGGAGGGGGAGCGGCGGCGCATGCGCACGGCGGGGTGGGGCGGGGGCCTCGGCGAGTGTGGCCGCGGTCGGTGAAGTTTCTTCGGAGGGAGAAGGGGGCGGGAGGGGACGGGGCTGCCCGCCGAGCAGAGCCGGGAGGGGAAGGGAAGGGAGCGCGGCAGGGGAGGCGGCGGGACCCCGGCTCTCCTCACGGGGGCCCCCGGACTTGCCCTGGACTCCAGTAAGTGCCTCGGCCCGGGGCGGGGGCGCTGAGGCGGGGCCGGGGGCTGAGGCGGCGGCGCTGCCCGGCCCGGCCCGGCCCGGCCCGGCCCGGCCCTGTGGGGAAGGCGCCTGGTTGATGCTCGTTCTGGCGTGCTCGCCCGGTGTTGGAGCGGGCAGGGCACTGCCCCCGTCCCTCGACGCCTCCGCCTTTGTGTAGCTCCTCGGCTGTGGCCGCTCCGTGCCTTTCTCTTCTCTCCTTCCTCTCCTTTTCTTCCTTTTCGTTTTCCTTCGAAGCCGCCGCCTTGGCGTGGGGGCTCTCCCCGGGTTTCACCTCAGGGGCAGCGTATAGGAGGCCGTGACATAATTGCCCTGCTAGAGCAGTCAAGGCTCTGTCACATCCCCAGAGGTAAGAGGATGATCTCATTACCCTTTTTTTTTTTTTTTTTTTTTTTTTCCTCCTCTCTTCTTCTCAACTTCGCTCTTTGAGCACGATGGGAAGGAGCGATCTTATCTGGGCAGAGCCCTGCAGTGATGGTGCCTGGGAGGGTGTGGGCTCCCGGAGCACCCCGGCTGCCAAGCCGGGCCTCTCTCGGCTCTGCTCGCCCTTGGTATTGAAATCTCAAGCGGCAGCTTCCAGGAGAGCTGAGTGTGATCGGGACAGCTAACATTTAGTGGCTAGTTTGTTTTTAGCTTTCAGAGGCGCTAGTTCTGAAGAGGGCTGTTTGGAAAGCTGTTGCCTGTGCTAGCAATGCGAGCCTGCACCTCTGAGTTGTGTTGTAGCTTAGTTGTAACCTGGGCTGGTTATTTACTGAAGCAAAGTGTCTTTAAATGGATAACTCGACTATAAATGAATGTTAAACTGTGACTAATATTGTCATATTTGCAGTTTTTAGTGCATGTAAAATTGCAGATACGCATTTGACATGCTACTGACTGAACACAGACTTAAATACTGTATGTATTGTGCAGTTCCCTTAGGTGTAACTAATGCATAATCTTCATAAAAGCATTATATTACTGCATAAAATGTTTGCGCAGTAACATCAAGAGGACAACAATTTCTCTTTGGGAAACAGGCTTCTGTTTTGAGGCCCTTTTTGTAAAAAGGTATAATTTTCACTAATCAGTGTACTATCTTAGTTTATAAACAAGGAAAAAGAGTGATTTATCTTCAAGCAGGGAAACAGTTATTAATTTGTTAGGCTGAGCATTTTGAATTAGGCATGAGCAAAATGGTGTTGCTTATCTGAGTAAAGCTGAGAGGGAGAATTACTTTTTTTTTTTTTTAGATTCTTAAGAGCTAGACCTCTCCATGCTTCACCTTCATATAAAAACATAGCACTTTTAAAGAGACTGCTAAACATCCCTGTGTGTATAGTAAGCTGAGTGGCATCAGCTTTTTGTTGCCTTCTGACAAATTGCTTACTGTACTAAAAGAGGCCATAATGTCCATAAAGATACATTTTCTGTTCTCTTCCCATTACCCAATCCCATACGTGACACTGGAAGACAGAGCCATATTTGATCATACAGTTTGGACCTATGAGGTGCCAGGAATAGCTTCTCACTGTGGAGCCCAGCAGGGTTTGGGGTTTTTGGGTGATTTTTTTTTTTTTTTCTTTGATTTGTCCACTTCCTTTTTATACTTGGCTGTGCTCATTATGATGCAGCACAAACACAGTCTTTACTGAGATGGATCAGTACATGGTAACTTTGGCTGGTTGCTCTGTGATGAGTTACTCCATCTTAATGAATTTACTATACTGCACTTGTAAGGATGGTTTCTTTTTTAATACTTTTGATTTGAAAGTCGTTATGAAGTATGATGAAGTCTTGTGTCATTTATTTCACAACTGAGTTACAGGTGCAACTTTAAAGCAAAATCAGTAGTCCTTGAGAAGGTCTATACATCTAATTATGTATAGGAAGACTTATTTTATCACTTTTATCAGCTTCATGCTGGATAAATTAACAGAACACTTGCTGCATTCTAGTAAGCCTGAACAGTGGACTTGCCTTGTAGGTCCCTGCAGTTTTGTCTCCTATTTCTGGTTGTTATTTTTACTTGAGTCACACAGGTAGCAGGACATAAAACTGTCAGGTATGTAAAGCAGAGAAGTGTAGAAGTGCTGTTTTCCTGTTTGTCACATGAGTAAGTGTCAAAAGTGGGTTGAAATCTCTCGTGGTAGAGAGATTCTTAGCCTGGTTGATATTTGAAGGAGTGCCTTTTAATTCAGGGGTAAATAAGTGCTGATGCTGCAGAAAGTGATAATTCAAGAGATAATATATGGGGTTTTTGTGTATCCTAGATACCACTGAATACTAGACTGCTGGAGACAGCTTTGCATAAAAAGTAAAACTTAAACTTTGTGTGACTCTTGTGTCCTTTTTGCAGTCATTAAACTTTGTGATTTTATTTTGTTAGTGTAGAAGATTTAATGTTGAGTTAGTAAATTGTAAGGATTAAATCTGTTTTCTTAAGCTATTTCTGTGCTTCATAACTACAGTTGGCCTTATGTTCCACTGTATAGCTATGCATTCCAGTGGCAGAAATAAAGAAGATGCACAGTAGGTCACCGACAGGTATATTGCAGTGTTTAAATACTTCAGAGGAGCAGATGTTTTCAAATAAATTAGAGATTAGACGAATAAGAACCAGTGTATAAAGAAAATGGGAAGCATCTTCATGCTTTTCCTCCTCCTTACTCCCTGTATCTGTTCTTCCTCAGGAGTAGTAACTGGGTGATGGAAGACACATGCATAGGAAGTAAGAAAGGCACATATATATGAGGAAGAGACCTGAATGCAGGAAAAGGTCTTGGTTTTTACAGGCAGCAGTGGCTTATTTCAGAAGGGGGCTATATCACCAGAAAAAAAAAAGGCTGACCGTATGTCAGAGAGTGGAGAAGAGAGGAAGTGCAAAAGTCAGTTTTTATTGACTGTAACAGATTAGAAAGAACTTGAGGACATTACTGAAATGTGAACAGATCTCTACTTGTAATGCAGTCTCCAGTGTAGTGTTGGACATAGCCCAAACTGCCAGGCCTGCAAAATTCTTAATCTATTTTAGTAGATTTAGAATTCCTTCAATGTCTTTATGACTAAATGTTCCTGATTATTTAAGCTGACACTTATCATAGTAAATGCAGTTCCTTCAAAATACAGCAAGCCAGCAGGATTGGGAAGTGAGTGCATGTTATAAGTGAGAAGTTTCCTTGCATGCTGTGTTGTGCTCTTTCTTGTATCCAGCTGTAAGTCACTGTTTGTCTAAACAATGGCTTGTGATACAAGAGCATGTATCATTCTTGCAAGATGTTAGTTGGTTTTTGTTTTGTTTTTTTGGTTGGTTGGTTGTTTTTTTTCCCCCCCCGATAATTAGGAACAATAGAAACATTCTTAGAAAATACTTACTAGATATTGGAGCCAAATAAACCTTTGTGCAGTTGTATGATTGCATGAAAATCCAGGATAATAACTTCAGTGACAAAATGTGGGAATTTAGGTAACTGGCTTTAGCATGAAACCTTGTTACAAAGTGGAACAAGCGCTGTTGGTGTCACCAGGAAACAAATGATACAAGAACTACAACAGTCAGTACATGTATTCTTTTGGTTTTGAGCCTAAATGCCAGTGTTGCTCTCAGTGCTTTATAAAATTATATAAGAAACAAATACCAAAATTCTAGTGAGCTTATCTGACATATAGAAATAATGCAGCTGCTTCTAACAAATTGCCTGCTGAAGAGGTCAGAGTAACAAGTATGGTTCAAGTTCAGGTTTTGAAGTTGCACTTTAATGCACCGAATGACTGAAATGAATTGGAATGGGAAACATGGCTGAGCGGTTTCAAAATTTTTTTCTACAGTTAGTGATCTCTCAAATTAGGACTTTGAAAATTTGTAAGTCAAATGTCATCTTGATACATGCAGCAGCCTAACTTTGAGAAACATTTAGATACATATTCGTATATGTCTCAATTTTTATAAATAACACTTTCCTGTTAGTGCTAGGTAAAGCAGCAGGGTTTTGTTGCTGTGGAGGAAGGAAGCTTGGTTCATTGTCTCGGCACTAAGCAGCATTTTCTCCCTCCAGGGACTTGCAGAAGCATCTAGAATGTGTAGGTGTTTCTTTAATCTTGGAGAAGGAACTTATTAAGCTTTCTGGTGCAGAACTGTATGAGCCACTTTTAACAGATGTTATCTGCACAAGTAGGGAGTTGCAGGTCTGGTAGACATTTGTGGCATTCAACAGTTTAAACAGTTTTCAGATTTGAACATATGCCTTTGCCTTGAAAATCTGAATAGTTTCAGGTATTTTATGTAGAAGAAAGGTGGTTCAATGGTGAGGTTGCTGCTCTGGGACTTGGGAAACAGGTTCAGCTCACAGTGTTGCCAAAAGCTTCCTGTGTGGCCTGGGACAAGCTGCTTCTCTGTTCCTCTGTTCTCATACTGAAACTACAGAGCAGTAGCAGCTCTCGGCATCGCAGAAGCATTACAAGGGTATGCCAGTCAGGTTTTGATGTCTTCTGGTGCAGCAGTAACGTGGGGTGTATAGCTCCATGGGGCTAGGAGGGAGAGGTTGAAGAGACTGCCCAAGTTAAAAGCTAGGGGTAAGCTCCAGGCAGGAGGAGTAAAATCAGAAAAATAAGGTGGGGAAAGTTTTGACTGGAAATCTCTTGGATCAGTTAAAAACAGAGAAGCCAAGTCCTTAAAATTTTAAGAAGCACCGCACTGCTTTGTTCATTTAACAAAATATAAACCCAATTCTTTACATACCTGAATGAACCAACAAATCCTTTCTAATGATGATTCTGCTACACAGGGAACAATAGCAAAGCTGTCTCTGTTCCTCTTTCAACAGTTCTCTTCTTCGGAAAATGCTTTTAATTCTACCTAACTGTTACACCCAAGTGTTTTATCTATCAATTTTGTTCATTTGTTCTGCTGGCATGATAGGCAGAATCTCTTAAATCCAGCCTGATTTCTTGGCTTTTCATGTGAAAGAGGTTGAGGAAAGATAGCTTCTCTACCTCCCCACTCCCCCAGGAGGGAAAAGAATTTGCAGCCACTGCTAAAGAGCAGTGTCTTTAGTAACTTTGTAGAGCTAAAAGTATTTTGGATTTATAATCCTTCTGGTGGAGACATAAGATGGAATTGTCATTGTTATAAACTGAAAATGTAGACTAGACAGCAATTATCAAGCTTTGCAAATGTGTTTGCATTATTGAGAGTCAACACTCCCAGGAACAGTCTCTGTACTGACAGATAGGTGATAAATTCATTAGTTTAATATGTAATTGCTTTGGTGTGTATGCTCTCTATGGGTGCTTTGGTACCCACCACATTTAAATCCCATGTACAAGAAAATGTGTTTGAACTTGTTCAGACTAGTGACTTAATTAAGTGTT